CCCGAGAAATACAGATTAGAACAAGCACAACAAAATAAAATCAACAACAACACATGACATAATCACAACAACACATCATAATCACAAAGCAAACATCATAAAAACAATATAATGGCTGAACAATAATAAATGCTGAGTTTGGAGGGCTCAGAATAAGTGCAGTGGTTCCTAAATAGAGCCAAGGGAAGGTGCAAAATTCAATAAGGCCGGGCTGGGAGAGTAATGCCCTTAGCTATTAAAGTAGTATTAAAGATTATAAGAAAGAGGTCCAAACTAAAGGGCAGAAGTTCAGACCAATTCTCTGGTGAACTGCCTAGTCAAAGGCACAGTGGAACATCCAAGTTTTTAAGTCCTTGCAGAAAATGGCCAGAGTAGGTGCCAGTCTGATCTCCCTAGGTAGAGAGTTCCAGAGCCGGTGGGCCACCACCAAGAGGTCCCTCTCCCTCGTCCCCACCAACCGTGCTTGAGACGGAGGTGGGACTGAGAGAAGAGCCTCCCTGGATGATCTCAGGGCTCGTGTTTGTTCATAGGGGAAGATGCGATTGCGAAGATAGGCAGGTCCTGAACTGCTTATGGCTTTGTAGGTGATAACATGCTCCTTGAATTGGGACCGGAAACTTACTTGCATCCAATTGAGCTCTTTGAACAGCGGGATTGACCACTCCCTGTAACTAGCTTCCGATATATATGCTTTCAGGTCAACTTATAGTGCCCACGTGCATTTTTCTGAAATAGAGCCCACAGTTCCTAATATTCATTGGCAATCTTCCAAGATCCCCCAAGATGAGTGGAGATGTGATGCCTTTAGGGTATGTTCTAGATACCTGAACAGAAATTCCTTGTAGCTCTTTCTTCTGAGGAAAGTCAACGGCCTCCCTGAATCTCTTTCAACTACACAGCAGGGATCTAAATCTTCATAAAAGTCATTCTCGCCATCCAGAATGAATCATTCTACCATTTTTCTTATCACTGTGAGAAAGTCTTTCAAAACTGCAGTGTTTGAAGACAATTGCAGTTCAAGACTTATTTGACACCAAAAAAAAAAAAGAGAATGCATCCACCCACAGACTTGGAACAATAGAGAAATTTGGAAACGTAGTGGGCTTTAAACTGAATATGGAAAAAACAGAAGCAATAATAAAGAATATACCGAAGAAAAAAACAGCTATAATAAAAAAACTGGAATATTAAATTGACATCAAAAATAAAATACCTGGGAATTGTCATAACACCAAAAAATTCACAACTTCTTCAAAATAACTATATAACGAAATGGAACAAAATAAGGAGAGATTTAGAGAAATGGAAAAACTTAAAGTTATCAATATTGGGCAGGATAGCATGCATAAAAATGAACGTTTTACCGAAGATGTTATTTTTATTTCAAAACCTCCCAATTATAAGGAACCAGAAAGGAATAAACCAATGGAATAAAGATATAAAAAGATTCATTTGGCAAAACAAGAAGGCCAGAATAAATTTCAAGAACACAACAGACGAAAAGAATAGAGGGGGACTAGCAATGCTGGACTTAGGGCTATATTCAGAAGCGTGTGCATTAACCTGGGTGCTTGATTGGATAAGATTAAAGAACGAAAAGCAGTTGAATCTGGAAGGGTTCGACCTGAGAAAGGGCTGGCATGCATACACCTGGTATGGAAAAAGAAACATAGAAAAAGGCTTCGGAAATCATTTCATCAGAGTGGCGATTATAAAAACATGGGAGAAGTACAAAGAGAGAATATACAATAAAACACCACTATGGGTCTCCCCCTTAGAAGCCTGCCAGAGAAGAGAGCTGGGGTGGATAAAATGGCCCTGTTATAAAGAAATTACAGGAAAAAGTGGACAAGAGATATATTTAAAAACCCAAGACGACGTAAAAAGACTATACCCAAATGTGACTTGGCTACAATATAGACAACTTAAAGAATATTTTATGATGGACAAAAAAACTGGATTTATGCAAGAGAAGAATATCTGGGATAAAATATTAAGAACTAGAAAAAAAACAATATCAGTGATATATAAAAAAACTGTTAGAATGGAGCACGGAGGAGGAAAGAATAAAGGACTGCATGATAAAATGGGCCAGAAATATAGGGAGATCAATAAGTTTGGCAGAGTGGGAAACTATTTGGACAAAAAAACTTAAATACACAAAAGCATATGACTTAAAAGAAAACTGTATTAAGTTATTCTAAAGGTGACACTTAACGGCCCAGAAATTGGGGAAATTCTACAAAAATTTAAACACAACATGTTAGAAATGTGGAGAGACAGAGGGCACCCATTATCATATGTGGTGGCATTGAAAAAAGCCAAAATATATTGGAAAGGAATTCAGGAAAAATTACAAAGTATACTGAAGACAAAAATACCACTATCCCCAGAAATATTCCTATTGGGAATTACTGATGAGAAAACAGACCAAAATATGGATAAACTTATATTCCTGGCGGCAACAGCAGCGAGAATATGCTACGCTAGATATTGGAGAAAGGAAGAGATACCCGAGGTGGAAGAATGGGAAATAAAACTTATGGAAGTGAAAAATATGGACAGACTAAGCTATTTAATTCAGAAACATAAAGGACAAATAGAAAATGAAATGGACTGGACAATGATAGAAGAATACTTCAAACAGAAATGACCTAGAACCTAAGTCGGGAGGAAAGAAAATTCCACAGTCCAAGGGAGAAATAAAAGAAGAGAAAGAGAAGACGGAGAAGGAAGGAATGAAAAGGAAAATCCCCATCAAAGACACCAGGAAGACAGACTGAAGGAAGAGGGAAACCTCGCTCTTTGTCTCATACTTTTTAGAACACTTCTGCACTTTTCCTTTCCGACTTCTCACCTCCATACCTACACCCCCTATCCAAACCCCATCTTCCCTATCCCAGTCCCCATACCCCCTACTCGACTTTTCTAAATCTCTAATCTCTGACCTGTTCTGCTTACATTATCTTACTTTTAACTATAGTGATTTCTTTTAATTATATGTATTAAAAAAATGAATAAAGATTATATATATATATATATATATATATATATATATATATATATAGACTTATTTGGCACCAAAAAAAGAGAGAATGCATCCACCCACAGAGAAAACACAATTGTATGTGCAGAAAATGCGTTTCTTGCAGAGAAATATTTTCTGTGCAGAGAAATATTTTCTGTGCAGAAAAACCCAAATGTTCTTTCCCCATAGAATAAAGCCAGAGCCAGGCCCATAGCCAGGATTTTGTTTCGGGGGGAGCTGAGTTTGATTCGGGAGGGGGGGGGCTGAGTCTGAGTGAAAGAGGGTCTACCCTAGCAAACCTTTTGTATCGTTACCCCAATACCCCCATGCATATGGGATATATTGAGTATGGTGATCAGATCAAGATATGAATAAACATAACAGTTTAAGTAATGTACCAGTAAGTAATGTACCAGTACCATAACAGTTTAAGTAATGTACCAGTAAGACCAGTATGAGAATGGGGGCTGAAGCCCCACAAGCCCCCCCCCCCCCCCCCCGGCTACATGCCTGGCCAGAGTTATAATGGTTTTCACCTATGCAAGGTTCATCTTTCTAGGATTTCCAGATGGCAAATTTGCTTTTATTTCTGAAAAGTATTTCTATCTCTGCCTCAGACTTTTAAGGCTTTGATTCCACTTTAACTGCCATGGATCTATCCTATGGAATCCTGGGATTTGTACTTTGAAGAAGTGCCAGAACCTTCTGCTAGAGACCGCTAGGAACCCTTCAGGAGAGATGAAGTATAAATAATATTAATAATAATAATAATACCCTATCAAGCTGCAAATCCTTGGATTCCATAGAATGGAGCTCATGAAAATTCAAGTGGTATTGAAGTGTATTAACTATGTAGTGTGAAAGAGACCCTGCTTGCTCCAGTACATGAAAAAACCGTATTATGTCAGCTAGTCTCCTTTTGCAAGTGATCTTCCTCAAGGTATTTTGGGTGACAGCGTCCATCACCTCCTGAAGCAGACACTGGCTATCCTATTGGGAGATATTGAGAAAGGTACTAGTCCTGGAAGAAAGGATTTGTAAGAATATTTAATTCATTTGTATTATGAATTTCTACTAATCCATACGATTTGTGGGTGGAGCTATCTATCAATCTATCTACCAATCTACCTATAGAAGACCCTTTGTATTTATTGTGGTTTGGTTCCAGGATTACCTATGGGTACCATTGATGCTCAAGTCCTATAACATAAAATTGCATAATCAAAAGGTTTGCATTTTTGATTTAAAAAATAATTCTAGCTTGCGGATGGTTTAATCTATGGAGACATAATCAATAGATACAGAAAGCCAACTGCAATATATTTTATTTTATTTACCTGCCTTTCTCACCACATAGTCCACGGTGGTGTACAATACAATTGAGTCAAAGCTGATAGATTTGGCTCTTCCCTCTTTCAGAGTTTGGTCCAACATTGTTAATACTGTTACTTAATGTCACAATCACTGTATGCCTTTGCAACTGACTGAGAAAAGTTTCTGTAGCCAAAGTCCACAGAGTTAGACTGCCTCTAGCTCTAGATTTGCGCTCAGTGAATTTGGAACCCAAAGTCCCCCTGTAACCTAAGCACTTAATAAAATCTACTGCCCTGTGATGGATTTTTTCATCAAGTGGAATTGATCTGTCCTCCTTGCAATTTGTGAAGTGGGGGGAAGGTTGGAACATAATTGAAACTTCTGGTGGCCCTGGAAGAAGCCCGACCCACTGGTCGTCTGAAGGTGAGGAAGCCACTGAAGGCCAGGCTGGCTGTGGTTCTGAATGACTGGAAATTGACCCCCCTTGGTGCCCATCATAATAAAGAAAGCGGGTCTGTCTTTGGGCGCTTGATTCCCCCTTTGCGCAAATGGGTTCCTCTTGGCGGAGGGAATACTGCCCACCTGCCTCCTTAAGCCAATCCCAAAACGTGCCTGGTGCAGCAGGGTGCGTGCCCAAGATGTGCGGTGCAAAGGGGGGAAAAACCCGGGGATGATTTGTGAAGAAATCATCCTTGTAAAGCTATTGGTTCTGGTCATCAGCCTTTATCCAATGCTTTGGCGGTGATGCTGCTGCTGCTCTATTTGGGAAGTTGGCTGGCTCTCAAGGCAGTCTCGTTCTCTCTCTCTCTCTCCCCCTCCCTCCCTCTCCTCAAAGGCTGTTCCACAGTGAAAATATGCTCAGTGCAGCTGAGTGCATGAATGAAAAAGCCTCTGGTATCTTTTAGGCGAGCAAAATGCTGCACAACGCGCAACTTACCTTGGCTTTTCTCCTGTCCCAGGTAAGGAATTTGGACTCATTAATCTGGTTCTGAAGTGTGTGTGTGTGTCTGTCTGTCTGTCTGTGAGTGTATACAGTCTCAGGGAAAGCAGGCACTTACAAATTGCCAAATGCACAGAAGAGAACACAGAGAGAAGCTGCGATTGAGATAGATAAATGCATACACAGATATATATATTTCCCTGAGATTGTATGCGAGCTGGAAAAACACCGGGCATTATTTAAGGTGGAGGAGATTCCCTCTCATGATCAGAAACCGATATGTGCTTTCTTTCTAGCAATAAGGAATTAGCTCCCTTTGCCCACCCGTCCGCTCGCCTGCCTGCATGTATGGGTGTGCATGCAAATTGCATTTTCTTGACACCGGAGGAGAGTGGAAATCTCTCAAGTGTGCCTTGCGATCAGCAGCGACGGCTTTCTCCCCCTTCTTCCACTGTCACCTTCCAAATGCTTCAACTTTGATTTGCTTATGCTGAGATGCCTTACAAGCTGGTCATTGAGGGAGATGGTTTTGTATCCTAGAGAACCAAGGAGCATGAAAGGGTCTACCTCCCATTCCTTTGCCCCGTCAACCCGTGGCGGATTCATGAAACGGAGCATTAAATACAGTGACTTGTTTGTGAGATCTCTCTTCCTCCTCCTCCTCTTTGCCACTGCTAATAGATTTCCCCTTTCCAGAAAGGCAAGGGGGAGGAAAAGGCACCCAGGCTTTAAAAAGCCAAGGGCTGGAGTGAGTGTATGTATGTGCATGTGTGTTTGTATGCAAGTGGATCCCTGCTGTCGCTGTCAGTCAGGAGCCGAGGAGGCTCTCACAGGTCTCCAACTTCTGCACTCACTCTTGTCTCTCCCTCTGGGAATGTGATGCTGATTTTATTTTAGAAGGTGGCATAGTGAGCTTTAAAGGCTCCTTTGTTGTTGTCCTTTGGGCATAATGTGCACTTGCATTTCCTTCCCCCCACCTCTCGCTTGAGCTCCCGTTCACTTAACAGCCTTGTTTAGATTTTCAGGATGGTACACCATGGGCATAAAAGTTCATTTCCTTTTGGCATGGGCACTTGGCTTGAGGTCCTGCCAGAAACCAACTCTCCAGACAAGGCAGCCTTTCATAGAGTTGCATGGATGTTAGGTCCACCTTTACATGCCCATCCAAAGGCACGGGAGCCAGGCATAAAGACCTATCATGTACCAGCTCAGCTCAGCCTTTGAGTAGACTGTTTTATTTTGTTTCATGTCATTTGCTACCTGGTCAGCTTAAGGGAAGGTGCTGTGGACAGAGCCTGAGACACTTCACATGCATAGGGCTTTCCCTCTGTCCTGCTCTTGACAGCCCTTTCCATTTATGGCACATGGGCAAGACTTGTCTTTCCTGGTGCTTGAAAACCTTGCGCCTGCCAAAGAAGAATTCCTTCCCCATGCGTAGCCCTGAAACAGTGTGGGATGGGTCTTGCACAGCTTGCAATAATAAAACAGAGTTCTTTTCCACTCAGGAGAGCAGTTTTAATGCATGGCTAGGACAAGTTGTCTTGTTTTGGCCTGGCAGTCACTTCAAGTAGAATGAAAGTCAGGATCCACCCTGTCTTGACGTGACTCAGGTTTTCAGAGAATGTGGTGAGCTGGTAGATGTGGCTCCACCAAAGTTGTTACCCCTTCTGAAGGTTTCACTCTCAAGGCCTTGTCTTCAAACTCTTTGGTTGATGAATTGTCTCATGCCCACATACATAGATGTTGAAGGGATGCAAGATGTGGAAACCGAAGTAGGGTGTCTTGAAGAGCTTTAGAGGATTTGGCTAATGGTGGTTGTTCATGCTTTGGATTTGGGCTTGTTAGCCAATGTGCTGAGAAAGCTTGGTGGCCACAAATCAATGAAAACTAGGGCTCAGCCCCATGGTAGTTGAATATGGAGGGGATACAGGCATGAAAAATATTCAGCTGGTGTGTAGAAGGCTGGAACTGAAAGAATATGAGAGATGGGAAAGAGAGGGAGGGAGGTAGGAAAGAAGGAGCAACTGGTTAGTAGTTTAGATAGCCAATGCATTCATGTCCTTCAGACTTCGGGGTTAATGTGGAATTTGTTGCATTGGTATAAGTGTTCTCTGAAAGGGGGAAATGGAACATCCCACCTGCCTTGGCTAATTTGCTGGAGTGATCTGCTTTATGGCCAACTTGCTTCTCTCTCTTCTTCTCACCTCCCCTGCTCTTGATTTGGATCATGCTGTGATTTGAAAAACTGACTTTTAAAAGTTTCTGGAGTTTGGTTTTAGGGCCAAACTTCAAGGATATTTGGAAGAAAAGAATACATCAAGAATAGAGCTTTGTAGGTTTTTAATCTTTTTTCTTGTGGCCTCCTTGCCTGAAGGAGGGTATAAGATCTTGATTTGTCTTGCTCATCTCTTCATCTTCTTGAGAAGCGCTGGGTCAAACATCTCAGTAACTCACCATGTATCAATATCACCAGCCTGGTTTGTGGGCAGGTGAGATTCAGCAGGATCTCACTCATTTCTTGTCTTATGTTAAGTGATCTTTCAAAATCCCAGGATCAATGTGCTAGGCTCACTTGGTTGGCAGGGAGTTGGTGCTGTTTGTCTCCTCTGCTGTGCCTCCTTCTTCCCTCTATGACATTCTCACTATAGCGGGGAAAGAGGGGAAATCCCAGTCACATTATATTTGTGAGATTTTTTGTTGTTCTGAAGTGTTTGGAAGTGACTTTGTCTTGAATTAGCAATGAAGATCCATCGGGTCTACAAAAGAACTATTCGGAGATGAAAGCTGCCGAAACTGGTTGGATCAACAGAGCAACCTCAATTTTTGGATTCTTCCTCTGGGTGTGGTTTGAGGAAACGGTTGTGATGAATGTGTGTGCTTCAGATTTTACCATTACACTGCTGCATGGTGGAAAATCCAACATGTTTAACTCATTCTAGAGTTTTGGGATCAGAGCTCAATGTCAAAACAATGTGAACTGGAAGAAGAACAGAATAACTCTACCAGAGCTCTTCCTTGCCAACATACCTGATAAAGGGATATAGTGGGAAACCATTGGCCTTCTGGGCATCATTGAATTCCAGCTCCCAGAAGCCCCAGCCAACATGGTGGATGGTAAGGGATTGTTGGAGTTGTAGTTCCAAAGGGATGGTGGGCTAAGTTTCCCCAACTTTGACTTGCTAGGTGGAGCAGGACCACCTTCTTTGTCTTTCAGCAAAGACAAAGAGTGTCTGCCTGATTGTATTATCACACTTAAAATAAATCTCCTTTTGTGGCAGAAATATTGAGAGAGAGGGGGGCTTTGATGAGAACGTGCAACAGCTGGGGAGATGATGAAGAAAGGGCCGCTGCTCAAAGAGGCTACTCAGATGGATTGTTTTATGTAGGCTTTCCATAACTTCTGTGTAGCAGGGAGAGCTAATAACAGAGAACAGGAGAATTTACCTGCACGCGGCCAGCCATCTGGCAAAGACTCCGCTTGTTGTAACACATCACGGCAGCAGTATTTCTTCCTGTTCCTCACCAGCCCCCACAACTCATGCCTCAATATCTAGTGAGTGAAAATGGCAAACACCAAGCATGATCTCCTGATTTATAAGCCATACAAATCTGTTGCCAGTCTGTTTCTTCCAGGGAAGGACATAATTCAGGTTGGAGGGAACAGCCAATGCTTCTGGATCCTGTGAATGATGGGGAGGGACTTCTTGAACTCAAAGTCAGAAAAATGTTTAAATGACTCTAAATAGCCCAAAATAAAGCAGACATTGATCAGCTGCTGTGGCGGGGACACACAATGCATGACAGGATTTGCATGCATGTATCAACGTGGATCAAGAGGACAAGGGGTTTACTCTTGGGCTTCCAAGAAGCTCCAGAATGATCCTGGAGATTTGGAGGGATGGACAACATCTAGATTGGGTTTGCATCACTGCTTGGCCTTGGAAACCCACTGGCCAAGCCACAATCTCTCCGCCTCAGAGGAAGTCCCCCCCGCCACGGAAGAAATCTTGCCAAGAAAACATAATTATAGATTTACCTGGCATTTACCATAAGTCAGAAACAACTTGAAGAAACAAAAACGACAAGGAATGTTAATATCTCTGGTATCAGTTCTCTAAGTTTGGAAGCTCATATCTTCAGTTCTGAAGGAAGAGGAGACAGCCTACATTGTAGTGCAGTTTATGGTTGTTCTCTCTTCTGATTTGAAATGAGATAGAAGCATAAAACAAACACTTTAAATAGCTGTGAAACAGTTCATTGTAGTCAGTTGTGCGCTTGCTTGAGAGTACAGTCTCCTTTGGTGTGATGTGTGTGTATGCCATTTGTAATATTCTTCCACAGGCAGCAACTTGTCTGGGGCCAACAAAGATCTGAATGGGTCCTTTCTAATGCTAAACATCAATTGTGTGTATGGTTTTTGTCTGGCAGTTGAAAGTTTGCCTTACATGTTGGAAACCACCCTGAGTCCCTTTGGGGAAATAGGGCGGTATACCATTATTATTATTATTATTATTATTATTATTATTGACACAAAAGCACAGTATGTCACAGCAAACGAGATCTATATGCTGGATTTCATATCACAAAATCACAAGTCGAACACTTCCCAAGCGTCTAGGACGGTGTGATGTATTTTTGAATGATGCACGCAGATCCAAGTAAGGTGGCCTTTTGCAGTTGACAGATCGTGATTTTGTCGATGTTTATTGTTTCCAAATGCCGGCTGAGATCTTTTGGCACAGCACCCAGTGTGCCAATGACCACTGGGACCACCTGTACTGGTTTATGCCAGAGCCTTTGCAGTTCGATTTTGAGGTCTTGATAAGCTGAGTTTTTCCTGTTGTTTTTCCTCAATGCGACTGTCACCTGGTATGGCGACATCAATATTCCAGACTTTTTTCTTTTATACAGTCGTGATGTCTGGTGTACTGTGTTCCAAAACTTTGTCAGTCTGGATTTGAAAGTTCCACAGTATTTTTGCATGTTCATTTTCCATGACCGTATTATTATATTGTATTG